GGCTGTGTCCCATAGATTTGTGGTTGTTGTGTTTTCATTTTCAAATGTCTCAATATATATTTTGATTTCTTTCTTGATCTCATTGCTAATGCATTTATTGTTTAGTAACATGTCATTAATTCTCCACATATTGGTGTGTTTTCTAGTTTCCTTTTAGTTGATTCTAGTTTTATACCATTATCTTGGAGCAGATGCTTGATATGATTTCAGTCTTCTTAAATTTATTGAGACTTTCCCTGACTGGTGTGGCTTTGTTGGTTGGACATTGTCCTGTTAAGTGAAATGTTACCAGTTCAATTCCAAGTCAAGGCACATGCCTAGGTTGCAGGCCAGTGCCAGATCGGGGGATGTGCAAGAGGTATTGTAGTTTCTCACAACTGATGTTTCTCTCCCTCTTCCTCCTTTCCTTTCCCTCTCTCTAAGAATAAATAAATAAATTTTTAAATAAATAAATATATGGAGATCTTTTTTAGCCTAACATGAGGCCTCTCATGGAATTTTTTTTGATGTACATAAAAAGAATGTATATTGTGCGGCCTTGGTGTGAAATACCCTAAATATATTAATTAAGGGCACCTAGTCTAGTGTGTCATTTAAGGGCCCTGTTTTTTTGTTGATTTTCTGTCTGTATGAACTATTTATTGATGTCAGAGGAGTATCAAAGTCTCCTACTCTCATTGTCTTACTGCCAATATCTCCCCTAAGGTCCATCAATGTTTGTTTTATATATTTACATGCTTCTATTTGGGTGCACAGATCTTTACCAGACTTATACACTCTTGTTGGGTTGACCTTTTTTTCATTATAAAATGTCCTTGTTTTTCTCTTGTTACTACATTTATTTTAAAGTCTACTTTGTCTAATATAAGTATTGCTTCCCTAGCTTTTTAAAAATTTATATTTGCATGAAATATCATTTTCCATACCTTTACTTTCCATCTGTGTCTCTTGAGCTGTAGTGTGTCTCTTGCAAGCAGCATATACATGTGTCATATTTTTATTCATTCAGGTTCCCTGTATCTTTTGACTGGAGGATTTAGTTCATTTACACTTAAAATAATTATTGATAGGTATATAGTTATTATCATTTTATTAATAGTTTTTTGATTGTTTCTGTAGTTTTCTATGATCCTTATTCTCTTGGCAGCTTCTCTTGTATGTCAGTGACTTTATATAGTGTTATGTTTAGACTACTTTTTTATATCTTGTATATCTTATCTTACAGATTTTTTGGTTTTGGTTACCATGTGCTTCATGTATTTGCTTATGTCAGTGTATATTAAATTGACAGTTACTTAAGTTTGAACATATTCTAAAATCACTATAATTTTTGCTCACCTTATCCACTTTTAGTTTTTGTCATTATTTTTTGCTTTTTTTTCTGTATGTGTCCTTTAATGTAATTACACATGAGTTTCCTATTTTTGTCTTTAAACCTTTGTACTAGTTTTACAGTTGGTTTATCCACTACTTTTACTAAGTGTTTGTCCTTGACAATGAGCATTTTTTTCTTTCTCATATTTTCTTATTCATATTTTTTATCTTTTTCCCCCCAAGAAGTTCCTTAACATTTGTCATAATACTTTTGGTTGTTATAAATTTCTTTAGCTTTTTTATGTCTGGGAAATTATTTCTCCTTCCATTTTAATGACATCCTTGCTGGGTAGAACAGTCTTGGTTGTAGATTCTTGCTTTTCATCACTTTTTAAATTTTATACCAATCCCTTCTTGCCTGAAATTTTTATGTTGAGAAATCAGATGACAGCCTTATGTGAGTCCCTTAGTAGGTTAACTAACTGTATTCATCTTGCTACTTACAAGATTCTCTATTTGTCTATAACTTTTGGCATTTTAATTCTTATGTACCTTGGTTATGGGGCTTCTTGAGAGTGACTCCTATACAGGTCAATGTCAGGCCCTTCCGGTGAACAGCTTTGGCTGCCTGTTTGAAGCTACAAAGTAATCCACAGTTTGTGGCTGACTCTACTAAGCCTGGGTGCATGTGAGAGTTTCCACACTGTGTACCAATGCTTGCTTTCACCAACACTGGACACAGGGGCAAGTCAGCAAAAGGCCCAGTGCACCCCAACAATCCTCTTAACCTGCTAGTAGCCTATTGGGCTCAGTCACTGAAAGAGCCTCTTGCCAAATGTGAGCTGAGTAAAGAGAGTTCTCAGTGAGTCACCAGGTAAGTGTGAGTGTTGTTCACCAAGTTGATACAGATTCAAACTAGGTGCTCATGTTGAGTGTGATGCCACTCAGCAAGCCTCAGCATACACCTAGGTCTGCTGCCACCTGCTTGCAGACCTTTGTGGTGGGGCAGGGTCTCAGAAAACCATTAGAGTGAGGACAATAAAGTTTATCAGGCTAGAACAGACCGAAATTTGGCCATATGTTTGAAGGGCTCTGCCCAGGAACAGTGCAGCTAGTTGGGTATGTGAGGAGAAAAATCACCCTTGTTCCAAAGTCACACACCTCAGTCTTTCCCCATTTGTCTCCAAATACCCAGAGTTTGCTCATACCTTTTCGAGAGCCTTCCATGAAAGTCTGCACAACAGGCCCGGGATGTCAACAGCCAGCTGACTTTTCCTCAGGGTGTGACCTCAACTGGGTTGGGACACCTAGAGTTAGAAGTGTGGAACTAGTGGGTCTCCCCTGGGAGATGTGGTGCCACTCAGGCATTTAGGAGGAAAAACTCCCCCTGACCCAGAGCCATACACTTAGTCTTTCACCATTTGTCTCTGCCAACCTGAATCTGCCTAGATCTTCTCCAGAACCTCCAAGGAAGTCTGCACCATAGGCCTAGGCTGGACAGGTTGAGATGTCTTTCTCCCAGGGTGACCTATGCAGCTGAGATACTTCTCCAGATCCTCTACATTCATGACAGATCAGCCCTTTATGTGCCTGTGCCTTTCCTACCAGTCCCAAGTCTGTGATTTCTTATGTACATCCAGAGTTATGTCTTCTATTCAGCTAGGCTTCAGTTCACTACTCAGTTTGATCGCTCTGTAATTTAGTTGAAATTTGGTTTGGTCCTGGGAGAAGGTGAGTGTTAACTTCTACCTATTCTGCAGCCTTTTTGGACCCCTCATCCCTCTTTCTTTGTTCTTCTCTAGGTAGGTTATTTCAAAATTCTTGCCCTCTAACTCACTTATTGTATTTTCTATTTGCTCTAATCTGAAACAAATGTTCTCTATTGCATTTTTCCATTAATTCATTACATTTTTCAATTCCAGAATTCCAGAATGATTTTTATTTATTTGGTAAATAACTCATTTTGTTCACATATTTTTCCCTGATTCTGTTAAATTGTCTTTCAAGTTTTCTTGTTCCTTGTTAAGTTTCTTTTATGAAGCTATTTTGAATTTTTTGTCAGTCAGGTTGCAAAATTCCATGTATTTAAAGTATGTTATTAAGAAATTATTCTTTTTGGTGATGGCGTGTTCCTTGATTTGTTATGTCCTTGTAGTATTCAGTTCCTGCTTTTGCATTTACATTTCAGATACCTCCTAAAATCTTTCCTAATGCCTTTGGTTGGACTATTTTGTTTATTGGTGCTATTATATCTGGGTCTTCTCCACCTTTCTATGTGTACACCTGGTCCACTCTTCTTGCTTAACTTGCAGTCAAAATTCTTAAGCTTTTATATCATATCTAGTTCCTACAACTCACCAGGCAGGCTAGTAGAAACATCTCTTTTGTTTTCCAGAAGATGGTACTATAGCCCCAATATGTGATTTCTTCCTTTCACACAAATCTTAGTGTGTTTTTGATTCCACTATATTTTCCAAATTAGCTCTCACAGCTGAATGCAAAGGGGTAGCAACATTGTGAGGGAGCATGGACTTAGAACCTGGGGCACTAGTAGTGCCTACAGACCCAGTGCAGAAATCCTCAGGTGAGGTTCTCTCAGAGAAACATGAAAGGTCATCCTGTTGAAATCCTGAGCACAAAAAACAGGAACCTTATTCTTTTAATGCCCTTTGATATTCCTCTCTGCTTTTTTCCCTTTTCTTCCCTTTCCCTGATCATAGATGTCCTGCCACAGTACTCTGGGTGCTGCTGGAAAGCAATGTGTTTCTCCAGCCATATCACACACAAATGGGACAACCAGGAACTCACTAAACAATTTCCTTTTTTCCCACTAGAAAGATGACCATCATCAGATACTTCAGCTCATATAATATCAGGAAGACTGGAATTCTGAAGCAACTTCTCTCCCATCTTTGGGCATCTGCCCAAGTCAGCAAACCAAATATTTTTTGGAACCATGGCAAGATGAAAGAGACAGATTCACTGGCTCTCCTGGTTCCACATCCCATACTGAATTCTTCTGCTTATTAACAGAAACGCTAGTGGGCGAGATTACTTTCACATCATTTAGTATATGATGCTAGATCACACAATTTTCACAGAGGCATGTTTGTTTGTGGATAGGTGTTCAAATATTTCTCATAAAATGGAGATAATCAGAAACATCTTTACCATCATAATGCTAACATCAAAACTGCATTTTAAAAAACAGGAGAGTAATAAATATTGTAAAATGGAATAAGAAGTGACAGAAAGAAGGAATCCATTCAATACAGGTTTGATAGAAACTAATTGAATAACACTAACAGGTGTTTTCACTCTTATTTTTAAAGTAAACATCAAGATATTGATTGCTTGTGTATTTTCATACTGCAACCCTCACCTTAATGCACCCCAAGAAAATTGATTCTGTTTAAATAGGAAGTGCTAAAAGCCAGGCTACTAAGTTGCAACTCACCCAGGCAACTGAAAAAGCAGTCTCTGTTAAGAATTTCTAAAAACTATGTCTTGTGCATACATACATACACAACCAAAAATTTTTAAACATATAAATTTATCGAGGCAATGAAATAAAAAGATGACAAAGGCTTAAAGACTAAATCTTTAGTACTCTTACCCTTTTATCATGTGGCTGACACTTCCTAAGTTCATGACACAGCCTAACTGAGTGTTTTTTCTTTCGACAGCCATGGGCACAGCAATGTCCACCCTTAATAAGCTCCACATAGGAAGAGGCAATGGGAGCCAAGATCTCCAAGAGAAGCTGCAGGAAGTAGGACTGTCAGCTGAGTACTGGTTGCCCAAGATTCAGGAACACCTGGGTGTGACCTGTGTCGAGGCCTTACAGCACCTAGAAGAAAAAGACCTCCAGAAGCTGATATTCCAGGCACAACATTCTTGGGAGAAAAGGGCCCTGGAGAAGCTGCTCAATCTGTCACACTCAAATAGACATTCAGAGTTACAGGAGTCTCAGGTGAAAATGATAACGAAAAAACAGAAGGCAGAACAGGAGCTACAGGAGCTAAGAGACTTGCCATTAGAACTGAAGCAAGGACAAAAGGAAGCAGTGAAGAAAAAAGAGGCAGAACTGAAACAGGAAATGGAAATCTGCAACCAGGACTGGCCACCTGAGAAATTCCCAAGAGAAAACAAGGAAAACATCCAGGGACAACTCAACCCCATGGAGGGGACACTGTCTCACACGGCAAACCTCTCAGATAGAGATCTGGTGAGATGGGCCTCTGGAGGGCTAGCTCTGCAGGGAATTTACAAAACCAGCCACCAAATGGAGCTTATAGAGAAGAGAGAGGAGCTACTCAGTGTCCCCAAGGACTTCTCTCTCTGTGGCCCAGAGCAGGGCACACGGACGGAAACAAGGGAATTTACATCTTCTCAAGCAGAATCCATGTTCACCCAGATGATAGAAAAGCTGGGTGTCAGTGTAACTGCCTTGGCCAAGAGTGCAGGTTGGGGATTAAGCTCGGAAGATGGTATGGACCACAACAAACACCCCAAATCCAAAGAAATGCAGCAAACACGTTCTGAGCACTCTTATTTCTCCTCTACCACATTCAGCTATGCCCCACTTGCCTCCTTCCACTTTCCCATTGATCAGCTCCAGTTCTCCAAGGCTGCTCTCCAGGAACTGAAATGCATTGAAGACCTTCTGGGTCAGCCTGCAGGACCAGACAAACTAACATGGCTGAAACACAGGGCTGAAGCTTTCTTCCACAGGTTTGGTTCTCATGCTAACCAGGGCCCTCTGCACCTGGGAGGAATCTACTGGTGGAAAGCTGTTTCAGAAGATTTCCAAAGTGAGCAACAGGCAGAAGTAAAACAGCAGGCAGCAGAGGCCCTGAATGATTATATAAGGGGCAGCGACAGTGGCTTTGGAGTGACAGTTGCTGGAGGTATGGAGGTGTCAGACTCTCATGCAACAACTACTGCACAAAGCACAACCTTCCAAAATCTTCAAACCAAAGTCCAATTATCTGTAGCCCAGATAGGTGGCCCACCTGAAGCAAATGGCTTTTTCCAGTGGAAAGATGGCCTAGTTGCCAGTAATCAAACCTGGTGTGTCATTGACCGGGGAATTCAGCTGGTGCCCATTTGGGACATCATCCTCTCCAGTCACAGAAGTGATTTTAAGGAACCTCTTCAGGTAGCTAACTTTTTGAAAGACAGCTACACAACTCTGACTGGCCTCCCTGGCCAGATCAAGGGTGGAGAAGAATTGCTGAGTGTTGGAAAGAAGGCTATGGTATTCCTAGAGGAAGTGAAGTCCTGGGAGGTAGCTGATCCTGAAGAGCAGCTTCAAAAACTCATAGATTTCATGCAAATGTTGAGTCACAAAACAAAAAGTGATGACACTTGGGTTAACATATGCCTCACAGATGGGGGTCTACAGAATTTTCTGGTAAACACCGTTAATGTTTGCAGAATGTCTTCCGTTTATAAAACTAAATTTGTTAAATCTCAGTTGCGCAGCCTTTTGGATCCTCACATCGACGGAGTGGAAAACTTTCCTCAAGCTCATTCCATCATGCAGTGGATCTTCCAGTCAGACTCACAAGAGAACATTCACATCTCCCAATTTTCTGAATTAATTAAAATCTTACAAGGAACCAAGAAAGACCTCATGGAAGTGAAGGCCAAATCTGAGTCTGCAGAAATAGTGGAGGAAGCTCAAAAAAAGACCACTAGAGAGGTCAGCTTGTCTCTTGGCTCCTTTTTGAATTACCTCCAAGAAACACAGCAGGCAGACACCCAGCTCTTGCTATGTTTTATTGCAGCTGGTGCAGGATATCATGTGGTAAAAAATACTTTTCAGTATCTCCTGGGTTGTGATGAGTTAGACTTCCTACTGAGTGAAATGCAAACTGCCCAAGATAAATACCAGAAGCTCAAAAATATTTGCACCTATAGGGCTCAGGCATTTCTGGTGCTCACAGGTCTTACAGCTACTGCTGGAGGTACAGCTATTTCACCAGAGGAGAAAACAGAACGACTTGCATTAATAAAAGAACACATGGGCCAATCTTTGTCAAGGGAAGTTGCACATGTCCTCTCGAAACCTGGAGCAGATCATGATTGGGAAACTCTTGAGAAAGACTTGAGATTGCTAATTGATGGTAATTATGAAACCAGCACACCTTTTTTGCAAGTGGATGAGAAAAGAATAAATTTGCCATTTAGTTTTCATGAAAAGGAACAATCCCATGAACCACATGATAATTATAGAAGATGTGAAGTCATAGGAGACATGGATTTCCTGCAATTACTCCAGCGTCTAGACCTAGAACGATACTACCCCAAAAAGATTGAGCAGAGATAACTTCCACATCATCCACAAGACTTCTGTGTACAACACCCAGCCCAGCTTGGAAAGGGAGCTTCCCCTCTATTTCCTACAGAAATTATTGGTACAGGATTATGAGCTGAGATACCTGGTCTTCAGAGAGACTGGAAACACACAAAATCAAGTTTTCTCAAGTGCTTTGAATCCAGAAAATGAATCTTTTGATCCATATGAAGACCTGTTTGAAGACAGTCAGACTCCCACTAATACTTCAGCCACTATACCTACATCCCATATTCACCCTATGGATATTCAGATGGCAATACTTTACTGTGCAGATAATCTTGCCAGACAATATATTTTTTCCAAACTTTCCATTTGCCAGTTTGCCCTCCCCCTTCTCATACCTAATCCCTGCAATTCTCAAATTGAGTTCTCTCTCTGGTCTCTTAGTCAAATTAGAAAAAGCTGGCAGGAAGCAAGGAAATCATCAAAAGAGGAGAAGATCAACTTCAAGAATAAGCAGATGTGTTGTGTCTCTACCCCCATTGTGTCCTTTATTAGAGTTGGAAATAACTTCTCTGCTTCCAAATCTCAGATCATGAACTGTCTTCTCAGTAATCGTAGACATGATGTCTTTTTTCACCGACATTGCAGAGGGAGCACCAAAGACTGTCTCTTGATGAAGGGTGTGGTAGAAATCTGCTGGTTCTGTCCTGGGGGGGAAGATGAGGACAGATTTGGAAACTGCTTGGCCTTGACCAATCTTCATGGAGATGCAAAAGAACATGAGAAGCAACTCAGCTTCCTGCAGGAGGTCTCTTCTCTCATTGTAGTTCTAATGTCAACTTCTGATGACAATAAAGAAAACCAAAAAATTGTCCGTGACCTGAGTCAGTCACCAAAACCTTTGATTTATTTACTTGACAACAAAGAAAAAATTATGGTCAATACTTCTGGCCAAAAAGTGAGAATTGGGATCAGGAACAGAAATGAGGCTGAATTAACAGAAGAGCTCATTACTACAATCACATATTTGCTAGAGCTCTCACACACTGCTCTCAGCTTAGAGGACTGTGCCCCATATGCTCGCAAGCAAGGATTCCTTATTGATGAAGATCAGCCAGAATGCAAGGAAGCCAAAGAAAAGGCAGAGGTCCTAATGTCTCTACTGAAAGAAAAGAAGATATCTCAGGTGAAGAAAAACTTTCTACCCCTTCAGGGACACCTCTGGCATCGTTGGTGTATAAAGGACAAAGAACTCTATCACCTGAGAGAAAAGGGGAATCGAAGCATTGAACAACACAAGAGTGAGATTGAGGCAGAAAAACAAAGAATACGGGACCAACAGTTCACCAGAGCCTTGCACCTCAGTGACTTAATGCGTTCTGTCCTTCAAATTCTCCAAAATCATTCAGAAACACAAACCACACTCTACTTTTTGCAATGGCTGAGTGTATTTTTAGACAACCTGACTACAGGACACTTGGAAAAACTGAATGAGAAAAAAAATGCTTTGTGGTCACTGATAAAAACAGAAAAGCAAAAAGCGCCTAAGAGCAAAAACCTACTATGTTGGCAAGAAGAGATAGAAGTTATCTCCAAAGAGATTAATGACTGTACCCTGGGAATTGAGCAACTTCTCAGAGAAGTTGGCCAAATTTATGAAGCTCTGGAGGAAGTTTCTGTCACAAAAGATGAATTTTATCTCTACCTTCCCCAGATTGCTGCAGACCTGCTGATATCTGGTATTCCCATTGAGCTAATGGATGGGGATGCTTCCTATGTGCCTCTGAGGTGGGCAGCAGCTCTTTTTGACAAGGTCTCTGAGAGACTTGGAAACAAACGGCTGTTTGTTCTCTCCATCCTTGGCCTACAGAGTTCAGGGAAGTCCACTCTGCTGAATGCACTTTTTGGGCTGCAGTTCACTGTCAGCGCTGGGAGGTGTACCCGGGGGGCCTACATGCAGCTCCTGAAGGTAGAGGAGACTTTCATAGAGGAACTGGGCTTTGAATTTGTGCTTATTGTGGACACAGAAGGACTTCGGGCCCCAGAACTCAGCAACAAATCCAAGAATCGTGACAATGAGTTGGCAACTTTTGTCATTGGACTTGGAAATTTGACTCTAATCAATATTTTTGGGGAAAATCCATCAGAAATGCAAGATATTCTACAAATAGTTGTCCAAGCTTTTATGAGGATGAAACAAGTAAAAATCTCACCTAGCTGCCTCTTTATCCACCAGAATGTAGGGGAAGTCACAGCTAAAGACCAAACTATGGAAGGACGGAGGCGGTTAGAGCAGAGACTGGATGAAATGGCAGCAATAGCAGCTGAGCAAGAACAGTGCCCAGGTATAACTTGCTTCAGTGATGTCATTAAGTTTGACATCAATAGTCATGTTTTCTACTTTGCTCACCTCTGGGATGGCAACCCCCCAATGGCCCCTCCCAATCCTCGCTACAGCCACAATGTCCAGGAACTGAGAGGCAGAATCTTTATGACTGCCAAAGAGGACTCTCGGCGAAGCATCTTGAAGATATCAGATGTAAAATCCCGAGTTCAAGATTTGTGGAGAGCCCTGGTGAATGAAAATTTTATCTTTAGTTTTAGGAACACCAGAGAGGTCATGGCAATGAGCAAATTAGAAACCATGTACAACATGTGGACCTGGGAGCTGAGGAGTCATGTACTAGACTTGCAGAACCAGCTGATCAACCAGATTAAGAATGGAATGATCCAGACACTCACAATAAGCGCAATTGCAGCTCCAGTTTCAGAAAAATATGAAGCCATCAAGCAAGAACTTGACAAATACTTTAATGAAGATCCGGAGAGTGAAATACTGATTCAGTGGAAAGCGACTTTTGAAAATAAGCTCTTAAACCTTAAAGAGGCACTTATTTCAGACACCAAAAGTAAAGCTGAGGGACATCTTAGTTATAAAAAAAATCAAGAAATACTGGATAATAAAAAGTCAAGTTATGATAAGGAATTATTGGAAAGAAGCCGAGAATTGGCTACAACTCTAGAGGGCAAAGAACTGAGTGAGGAAGAGCTACAAGAGAAATTCAATCAACTTTGGGAAAAATGGGTCTATGCTGTGTCCTCAACTGTTCCTCCAGTCACAGAGCCTAACATTGATGTGGATTCTGAAGGCATCCTTTTGGAATATTTTCAAAAGGAGAGAGACATAGTGAACATACTGAAGAAAAAATGTGGGAAAAGATTTGAAATAAATTATAAGGAACATATAAGTGTGAGCAAAATAAATCTATTTTCAAGGCAATTAGAAGTATATGATGAAGAGTCCATAAAAACAACTACTAACCACATTGTTTCACGATTCAATGAAACTCTTGACAACATTCAGAAGCAACAGCGTGATTACAATCCAAATTATTTCCATGAAATTCTGAAAATAATGGAAGATGGGGTTAAGTCCACATGTACCGAGGAAAGATACACATTTACAAGTAAATATAAAATTGACTTATCTTTGTGTTTATTTCAAAAAGCATCAGAAAAGTTTAAGCAAATGCACGAGGCATTCAAAAGAGCAAATGATCCTGTGAACTACCTGGAAAGCAAGAAAGATGATTTCTTCATGAGTTTTAAGATCTCTTGTCAAGGGGCAACCTCAATCACAACATTTGTTGGGTTTTTGTGGCAAAAACTCACTCCTGCTGTTTCCACCACCATTTGGAAAAAAATGGTCCCTATAATTGCGGGGGAGATGCGAGCGAACTGCCCAGCATTCAATGGTAACAGGGCTAACCTGGAGAAACACATTCTTATATCTCTGGCAGAAAATGAACATTTTGATGATTACTGGGAGTACATTCATAATCCAGAGTCATTTTTCATGAATTACATTCAAAATTACATTAAAAGTTATTGTGCAGACCAAGGAAGTAAAAATATAGAAAAAAATTTAAAAATGACTTTAGATGGCATCAAGACTACCATCCTCTCAGCTATTCGTGAAGCCACAGTAAAAGCTAATGATCAAAGCAGCACTGGGTCTGGGTGGCTGGATTTCTTCTGTGGTGAGCTGAAGAGTAACTTGACCTTCCCACGAAAAAACTTAATAAGCATTGAACACCAGGAGATAAAAGATTTTGAATTTCTCAAAGAAGCCATGAGTGAAGCTTTGGATCCCATGATGAACAAAGTAGAAGAGGATTGTTTGATGAAGCCTGTAGAAGAAATGGTTCCTGAAATCCAGAAGTTGCTCTCTGAACAACTCTGTGGCTGCTGGAAACAGTGTCCCTTCTGTAAAGCAATTTGTACAAACACCATCCCTTCACATGATGGAGATCACAGTGTTCCCTTCCACCGTCCCCAGGCTCTCAATGGATACAGATGGGTGAATACCGACCACTTTTCCATTGATTACTGTACTAGTTCAGTAGCAAGTGAATGTTCCTTCATTTTGAGTGATGGTCGTAAATTCGCATATAAGAACTATCGAGAGGCAAAAGGTGACTATGCCACATGGAGCATCACCCCAGACACGTCCACCCAGCCATACTGGAAATGGTTTGTCTGTCACTTCAGATCAAACCTGGAAGAAAAATATCAGAAAACATTTGCAGGTAGAGGTAAAATCCCTGAGGCCTGGACCAAAATCACAAAGCAGGATGTGCTGGAGGACTTGAAAAAGCAATAATACTCAATAACCCCAAAACACACTTTTCTCACAATGACAACCACATTATTAACATTTTCAAATGAAAACTAAATATAAATCATTTCTATTTCAAGATATATAAAACATTTCAAGAGCTGAAGATTTTCTGTTGAAAGGACTTTTACTTTGTCTCATTTTCTTAGTTTAAAAAGAAACAACTAAAATATATGAACAGTATAATAAAAGTCAAATTTAGTACATCCCTTATTCATATTTTAAACTATTACTCAGAATGTTATTTTATTTTAAAATATGTAATTAACACATACATGCCAAAAATCATTCTAATAAAGGGAAATCAAAATCAAACTGCAGACACCTATAAATTTCTGTGGATTAACTATATGGACATTTCATAACCAATCAACATATAGTTCTAGGCTACAAGCTACAGACTGCCTTTTCTTTCACTTTTTCTTCCTCTGAAATAGCAAAAAAAAGTTACTAAACTTTCAATGAAAAAATATCCAGAAAAGTTCATGATTCCCAATCATAGAGATATTTAAACGTATTCATTTCTGGAAAAGGAAAAACACAAGAGACTTAACCAGGATAGAGCCTATGTCAATTCAGAAAATATTATCAAGCAAATATGAAAAACAGAAATTAAATAACCATCACCTTTTTTCCACTGTCATCTTCACAGTTTGCTGTGCATAATGTTTTTAAATAAGTTCACAAGAGTTTAAGTTTTCATAGCCTGGTCCTTTGCACCAATCTAAGAAAGACTGGCTTTCTGAACAAGATATATGAGCAAATATAAAGTGCCTTTTTAATTTAGGCTGTGGAAACTGTCTGATTTGATTGCACAATTAATAATTTTAAGAAACTATTCCTTCCAATACAAAATATGAAAGAGTATATACTTTTCAGGTTCTGTTATTATTCTTTTCATGGTCCTGGCTGGCGTAGCTCAGTGGATTGAGCATGAGCTGTGAACCAAAGGGTCGCAGGTTCGATTCCCAGTCAGGGCACATGCCTAGGTTGTGGGCCAGGTCCCCAGTGGGGGGCCACAGGAGAGGCAATCACACACTGAGGTTTCTTTCTTTCTCTCTCTTTCTCCTTCCCTTCCCTTTCTAAAAATAAATAAATAAAAATCATAAAAAAAAGAAATTCTTTTTATGCATTGAAATGTAAGGAAATGCTTGATTCCAGAACAGGTACCCTTAAGATTTTCACACTATTTCTGCCAAAGGGTCATGATTAGAATAAAAAATGAAAAACACCCTAAAGTTAGTCAGGAACCTGAGAGGATAAATAAATCGCTATTCTGCAAACCTACATTTCCTAAAAAAATGACCTATGATGTATTGGGAGCTGCCCTCCCTGGTTTCAGGAGCTGTAACCCCACCACCACCCTCATGGCTAAGGCTGAGTGAGTGACCTTTAGACCATAAGCTGCTAAGGAGACAAACCTTATCTCCCTGGCAGGAGTGCTGCTTCTGCTCCTTTTTCCATAACTGGCCCCCAATGCTTGATTAGTTAGCCAATGACGGGTAAGATTCCCCAAGGGGGGAACCACCTAAGACAGGCATGATCACGTGGAGACCCCAGGGAAGGACTTGGGGGGCTATGGAGAAAGGGGGTGATGGACCCTTGCCCCTTGGTCTTGACAAAGCTTGACTCCCCTGAGTCCAAGAGAAGTCTCCCAAAATTCTTTGGCTATCTTGCCTCCTCTGCCTGACTTAAGCCTGAAACAATGACAGAGGGCGGTGCAGCCCTGTGCTGGAAAGGGCAGGTTTCCCAGGTGATCAGGCCTGAGAAAGAATATGTAAAATCCTGTGAAGCCTACTTTGCTAAGAATGCTCTTAGTTAAATGATAAAGGCCCGAGCAGGAAATGAGTTTGTTTCCCAAAGTTTTGTAGCCTTTTAGCTGATAGACCCTGACTGAGAAGAAGCCCTAGTAGTTCTTTGTATGCTATCTATTGTTTGATCCTTACTGCCTGACAATGATTAATAAGCTGTACCTGTATTCCTGTGCAAATTAAATGCAATAAAACCCTGTCAAGGCAAGGGTCAGGGCACTCTCCCCTTGAGAGGGTAGCCGAGCCATCCCTTTTCCTCCACAGGACTCGGCAGTCGATGTGAATTTGTCTCATATCTCATCCATGATGCCACAGGCAGTGCGGGCAGGTGCACACATCAATGTTGGATTGTCCAAGCTGATGATCTAAAGGAATCCTGCTACTATGAAGAACATTTCTTCATACCAGAGCATTCATTGGCTTCCATTTACAGGCATATACTATACCCCTCCCTATCCAGTGAAAACAGACAGTCCAAAAATTAGCAGTCAAAAAACTTAGATCTTCAGAGCTAGGAGACAGGAGTACTAATTCTGCTAGCTTTGTACCCTCAAAGGGTTTCATGACCCATGTCTCCAGAAGAAATCCTGGGACAAAAAAAACTATAGAGAACACAGCTTTTCATGAACAGTGTGGTTTCCCTTTGTTTTCTGATAAACAGTCTCAGTAAGAGTTGGAAGGTCCTCTGAATATGAAGTTCAAACAGTGACAGAAACAGAACCTCAGTGTAGCACTGTACCTGTCTCTCATATTGCTGCAAACTTGAAAACTGCCATGTTCTGTTAGCACTTGCTGGATGCCTTTCTAATTTGTTTAATAAATCTATATAACCTTTAAGAAGTATCATTTATCATAACTCATATGTTAACTCTGATTTTCAAATTGTTGTGTATAAATAAAATATCTGATAAATTCCTCCGGTATTTAAACAGTGTGATTATTAAATGAGATTCACAGGCTGTGCTCGACTGATCAAAACAACTGGCAAGAAGTATACTGGGATACTGAGAAGATGACTGGAGGAATGGACTTTTCTGTGATGGTAGTGGAGAAAGTAAAGCAGCCATCGAGAATTGATCAGGGTATCGGGATTATAGTGTTGTTGGATGGGGGTCACTGAGAGAGGATCCCTCAGGGCCAGTGGGTAGGACAGAATAGAGTCGGTAGGGATGAGAATCACGTGATCCTCAAGAGTGGGAGACACAGGGCACAGGTGTGTACATCACAGGGGTAGAAGGACCAGAGTTGTAAGATTAGTAGAGGTAAGGTTCCCATGGTCAGTGGTATGGTTCTCTCAAGAGTCACTAAAAGTGGGAAACACAGAACCGGGAGTTGGGGGTTACCACATCAGAAGATTTGGGGGATTTCCAGAGTAAGATAAGCAAGAGATCCTAAGTGCAGTGGAGAAGAAGGAGACTTTAAGATTGAGGCTAAGAGGGTAATGGTTTCTGAGACAAGATCAAACCATATAAATGTGAATTCCTTAAAGAAAAATAAAAATTTGTACTGAGAAATTTTGAAGTAGTTCTCTAAGAGAGTTTATAAATATGAGAGAGCCTAGGAAATGTGGTTGTTAGGGACTAAATATTTGTGTCCCCCCAAATCCAATATTGAAGACCTAACTCCCAATGTGATTTGGAGAGGGGACCTTCAGGAGATAATTTGGGTGAAATGACTTCAAAGGGTCTTGCCTTCATTGATGGGATCAGTGCCCTTATAAGAGACTCCAGACAGATCCTGGTCCTATTATGTGCATAAACACAGGTAAGAAGGTGGCAAACAGCAATATGGTGGCAAGATAGAGAGCCTTCACAAGAAACCTTCACAAGGTTCTGGCTAGAACCTTGATCTCAATGCTCCAGAACTATGAGGGACCAATTTCTTCATCTAAGACACCCAATCCATAGTTGTATGTTATGGCAGCCTTAGCTGACTACAACAGGGTGTGGCTAAAACTTGACCCCCTCAAGTTTTGGTGTGCCCTGACTTTAGGCTATGGGGAAAGATATTTTAAAAACCTATGATTTTTCCATTCCCTCAAAACTGTAATTCTCTTTAATCATTCTAACCCTTCACTAAGGTCTGAAAAAGTCATTGAGGCCTTTATGTTAGTGCTGTGATGCCTGAGTAAACAAGGCAGTGAAGGAAAGCATTTGTGTATTATCACTGATATTGTCATGATAATTACTAACACCCTTATCTTTGCAGTAGTACTGCTGTGAGATACTGGGCTTGTAATTTACTCTCTCTGTGCTCAAGTGCCCTATATCTAACAGTGCATTTCTCGTGGTGTTATTGGAAAAAATAAATGAATTGCTCTATAGACACAGTTAAGAAAATGCCATCCACTGAGTAAGTTCACTCCAAGTCTAAGTTAATATAATGTTATACTATTCTCCCATGTTCCTTATTCCTTTGCTTTTGAGTAACCGCACTGATAGGCTGAGATAGTCTCATCTGGGCTTCACTTGCAGGAATATCTAACAAGGAGTCCTTGGGAAATCACAGTTGAGAACAGTTTAAGTTCTCAATACATGTGATTTTGATTGATACTGATACTGATGGCCTGATGGCAGATCCCCTGTCCTTCGGAAATGTTGTGACAGGAGGAAGCATTACACTGAGCACATGCAAGGCTAGTAAAATAACTGCACAGGGGGAACTGTCCTCCTACCCACTTTCAATACCTGATTGGGGGGAGGACCAGGGGAAGGCAGGCGCTTGCAGCATAGAGGTCAGAATGGCAGCAGGGTGGTCACATACTCGAGAAATCTGCCAGTGTAGCCTGGGGCAAAGAAGGGATCAGTTGGGCCCACGCTCTCCCAGGAGAGAGCCTAAGGCCTGATAGTGGCTGGGGGAAAGGCTGAGCTGCTTGGATGACCATTCAGTGGCTGCCCGTGGTTCCCAAGAGGTGATATTTTAAATGAAAGAAGGATTTCTGAACACCACCTTTGGTTTAGGTCTGGCAGAGGGTGGCTGGGTTTTCCTCTGGGTTTCTGGAGGGGATGGGCTTGTGAGACAAGAGTCTGCCATTCTTCCAGCTTATGCAGCATATGAGTAAAGACCACCTTCCCTTCTCGTGAACATCTGCCTCTGGAATTTGCCTATTGGTGACTGGAGGCAGCTGAACTGCCAGTTTGGTTCAGTAACAATAGTTCAAAATGTACCTCAAGGTATTGATGTTCTTTGATGCTTTATCAGTACTTACAACTATTTCAAACACTGCTCAACCAATCAAAGACAGAAAATTCAGTCACAATTCTTTAGCAGTATGGAAGATAATGTGTCTTAGATTTTTCACAAGTAGGCCTAAGACATAGTTTAACATACAAATAATTTATTAGAAAACTTATTGCAGTAAAGATGTAAAAGCATAAAAAAGCAGGGGAAAATAATTTAAAGTGAAAGAATAAATTAGTAGATATAAGTCAAGTTTTGAGAATTAGGGAATGCCAGCTTGCAGCTGTTCCAAGAACACAAACTCAAAATTTAGACTGCGTTTAAATTTAGACTTAGGTTTTGCATAGAGCCTCCACTATTCACTACCTGCATGGTTTTGGATGAATTAGTTATACAACCTATCTCTCCTTCATTTCTTTTTCTCTATAAAATAGTGCCATCTCATAGAGATGTGAGGATTACTTGAGATGATACATATGCCTGGCACAGAGTATGTGTTCTAATTATACGTGTAGTAATAGCCAGTAGCAATAGCAACAGCAGCAGCAGCAAGCTCAGAAAAGGTCTTGTTAATCGAAGAAATTATAGTATTAATAATGTTATTATTATTATCATTGCTACTATATTAAAATGTCGTTATGCCTGGACCTCATTCTCAATTGTAAGCTTCTGAAGAAGAGGGCCCATGTGCTGTACATCTCCATATGCTCAACAGATACACCTACTGACTCCAGTGTAGGTGATGAATCAATGTTATTAAATACAGTTGACAGAACAAGTTTATGAAAATCACAACAGTTAAAAGTAAATTAAAGAAATCGAAGATGGTTTTGATGTTTCAGATAATGCAGATGAGATTAACTAAAGAAAGGTCACCAATGGCTTCTACTTTACAAAATCCAGTTATTTATTCCAAACATCTTACTTGCTCTATCAGCATTATTTTACTACTGTCTCCTCCCTGAAATACTCACTTCACTTGGATTTGATAATATTGCAGTTTTGTTTTCCTCCTATGCCACTCTGCTTCACTGGTTTTTCCTCTTCTACTAGAACTCTCAAAGCTAGCATACCCCAAAGGATCAATCTTTGGTGTCCCTTCTGCATATCTACTCTCTCAATGTATCACCAGTGTCTATGGCATTAAATACCACCAACACATTGATGACTTCTAATACATCTGCCTCACCTACACTTCTCTTCAAGTGGCAAACTCATCACAGTTAAAGGGAAATCCATTGCTTCCAGGTCATTGTTTTGCTGTCATGGAGTTATCATTCTTCTCTTAATTGGCTGCCACCCAAATATCCATCATTTTCAAGACATTGCCAGGTGTCCCTAGAGCATTTGGACTGTTCCAGTTGAAAACCATTATACAATGAGACCCTGAAAAACTTTGAATTGAAGGAAAAGAGTCAGGTTTTGGTGGAATTTTTTAAAATCTTTGTTGTTTTCTGAAACACATTTATTCATTGAAATATCAAAAATTTAAGAAAGCATGCCCTGGCTGGCATAGCTCAGTGGACTGAGTGTGGGCCTGCAAACCAGAGTATCGAGGTTCGATTCCCAGTCAGGGCACATGCCTGGGTTGCAGGCCAGTTCCCAGCAGGGGACGCATGAGAGGCAACCATACATTGATGTTTCTCTCCCACTCTTTCTCCTTCCCTTCCCCTCTCTCAAAAAATAAAATAAATAAAATATTTTTAAAAAAATTTAAGAAAGCATACAAAAGGATATTAAAATCACAAAAATCCCACCCCTCGGATTAACTTCTGTGAATACTTATTAACCACAGACACAGTGAAATTTGTACAATTTTGCATATATAACAATGTAAAGGATACATACTTTCCTATAATCTCATTTTCCACTCAAAATCTCCTATGGACATCTTCTGATATCAACACTAGTTTATTTTAATAATTAATTTGATACATGCATAATATTCATTGGTATGTACTTAACCAGATCTCTATATGTTGGCAACCAGGATCCTAAATTTTCACTATTATCAATAGCAGTGCAATAACATCTTTGAACACACATCTTTACACAGGTTGATTGACCCTCTTTCACACTCAACATCTCTGTGTATCTAGAGTTTGACAAAACCAAGAGGTTTACAAAGTGAATTAGACCATATCATGCACCAAAGATATGCAAAGACTGGTAAGGAAAAATAAATACAGGACAACATAAAATATGACAAGTGTCATGAAAATGCAAGGAAGAAATCTTAGCCAAAGATGAAGAAAATATAAAAATATAAAATCACACATAGGCCTAGCGTCAGTATACAAGTTGGTTTCTGTTCCTTTTGCTTCAAGTGGTTATTTATAACAATTTGTTTAAATTACCATTTCCCTATTCCCCCTGTTCCCTGTGTGTAAGTCAAGGACAGATGTTTCTTCTTTATATACCCAGTAATTATACAGAGCTTTGTATATACTGAATATTCAATAAAGGTTTGTTGAATGGGGCTATTTTTAGAAAACTTCCCACCTGGAGAACATTCTCCTGAGGCAAGAAAAGGGTGAAAATCACATAAGAGCAAATAGGGGTATATTTAAAAGTTTAAATTTCCTCTCAACTTCCCAAATTTAAAGACAGACTAGGAAACAAGTACAGTATAGAGAGAAGAGAGGAAGAAAGAATGAAAAAATGGTATGAACTTCTCTTATCCTTTCTTTCTTTCTTTCTTTCTTTCCTCTCTCTCTCTCTCTCTCTCTCTCTCTCTTTCTTTCTTTCTCTCTTTCTTATCCAGAAGAAATCTGAACAACCTTGCAGAAGTGCAATTTGGAATGAATCCTAAGGCTTACACTGCAATTCAGATGATGGAGAGTAATATTTTACTTTCCTTATTTTAGTCTAGAATGTTATATCCTTCTAAAATTCCATCCATTAGTTAGCAGGAGAAAAATATTAAAGCCTGGGTCCCTCCCCTGCATCTCCCCTCAAAGCACAGTGGAAAAATGTGTTGTGGTGGCTGCCACCTGCTGGACCCTGGAACACTCTCTTTGTCAACCTGATTGCTCAGCATTCTGTAGGATACCAATGCTGAATTGACTAGTTATCTTGGGTCTAGACCTTTAGCAGAGATGATGCAGACACCAGCCTGAAGTGTCCGTCTCATTATAGATGAAATGAGACATTCACATAGACTACCGAGTTCTGTGTAGGAAAAGGGTGGGCATGGCTTTTCTCTCTAGGGGAGCAAAAGTGTAGCGGTTACTGGGACTGACCTTTGTTGGGTTTCTTGGCACATGGTGGTTCTCATTTACTATGCACAGGATCACTTTAGGTGGTTACCTTTTACAGAAAACAAAGGAGAGGATGCTGGTAATCACATCACAGAAGAATATTTGCAAATGAAAAGGCAAGAGTGGTTGAATTGGTTACACTGGTCCTTAGAAGGTTTAGAGCATGGTTTTTAGGAAGTTACTTTGCAGTAAAAATGTTTGCCACAAATCTTGATGCGGGAGTTTTTAGCAAAAAACAAGACTCAAATAGGCCTAGGTACATAGCAGGCCCGATCCCCCCTGGAAGAACCCATCTGTGGGTGTGGGTCCTGTGCATCTCCCAGTAGGAGCTGGGCCCACACCACACAGAATGATTTCCTACACAGGGACAATGTTCGTGGGTTGCTAATGATACCTACACCAAGGTTTCTGCAGCTTGCACAACTCCTGAGTTTATTGCCATGTCCTCCATCCCAAAAGTTGGCCCAGCAGTCCACACTACTGGAGGGTAGAAGTCAACTCACCCTGCCATGGTAAGCCCATGGCCACCCACTCCATTTCAATTCAACACCCACATCCCACAAAATCTCAGGGCATCTTCATCAAGCTAAAACCCTGAACTGCCCTCCACTTGCATATGATGCATGACATTTCTGTGACTGAGTCCTCAACTTGAAGCATGGCCAAATCCACTTTGAATAATATTAACTCAGTCTAATTTCTTTTACATCTCCTTTATAAAAGTTTTTAATCTTCCTCTTGACAAATGAATGCCTCTCATAGACTAAGGAAAAGCTCTAACCTTGACATCTTCATCCACAACCTCATCCCAAACCTGGTGCAGTCTGGTGATTACAAAGAAAGTGCTCTTTTCACTGCACCTCCAGTCCTTTTAGACTGGAAATTTAAGGAAGTGTGAAGATTAAAGGGAGACAGACTGGAAAACAACAGCCTGGTCACATCCCATCTTGTCCCAGACTTACCCCTGGAACCCATTCCTAAAGCCCCATTTTCTCTGACTTCCAGTGAGCTAAGGCAGCCCAGCCTAGGCTCTCCTGTTGCTTCTTATATGCAAAGCCCTTTCTTGTTCCATTGTCCCCAGCTTAAACAAATGTATCCTCATAGTCACCTGGACTTGCACTGTGAAGTCTTTCCTACATGGAGTCAAAACTCCACACACTACAACTGATCCTAGGTATTCACATTCAGGGACAAACCCCTTTCTGGTAACATAATATGGCAGCCATGAAGGGAGTGACTCAGATTGTCTCATTTTGGGCAGAATGGGAGGATTCCAGAGAAGGGGCAAACTAGGACCACCTTGCAGACCAGGACCATCTAGGTACCAGCAGAGGCCCATTGTGCTCCATTGACTCATCGATCTACAATGGGTGAGCTTGGGTGACTTCCCCTGGAATTCCTGTCATCCCTATTGTTATAAAGAGGCTAAATTTCTTTGATTTTTTTTTTTTAATCCTTGAGGTAGAGCCAGAGGTTAAGGTTTTAGAAGAAGCCAACCTAAGGCAAGATGGAGGAGAAAAATGGATGGCTATTTTTAACTTTGGTTGTTCAGTTGAAGTTGCTTCCTTGTAGTCTCAACAAAACCTTTTGGTGAATAAATTAAAGTCTAAACCACAAACTCCTTCAGCTATAAGGATGACTGGGGCACATACTCCCTCCAACTCGGATGTCAGGCATTCTTAGGCAACTGAGAATCTTTGTGGAGGCCAAGACACATGGAAGGGTTTGAGATGTGGACAGTTTTTGGAAAGTCTTTACTTACTTGCAAGTACTTACAGAAATGAGATTTAACTACAAGTAATCCACTTAAGATGGCCAATATGTATCTCTTCTAAAGCCCAAACTTTTGCATGCGAAATTAGAAAAGCTAGCTTTAGATTAAACTGAATGAATGGGTAACTTACCTTGATTGCAAATCAGAAGTCCCTAAGAGGAGGAGCATAGGTCCATTACCCTAGAACAGAAAACCAGGAAGATCAGCTCCCAGGACTGGCTCTGGCAGCATTTGACCCTGGCTCTGGGGTTTCAGTAACTGGCAGGCTGTGGAGGATATTGTTAAGACATTCTGCCCACTTCCAGGTTCTCCTCAGACCTGGATTAATCCTTCCCCCTGGCAGGTCCTTTTCCTGGACCTGCTAAGGTTCCTTGCCTCTGTCCAGTCTGGACTTTTTCCCAGGTTTTCCTAAGCTGGGCTCTGCCCCTTCATGTCAAAGAGGGTTGCCCTGACCTGGTGAATACTTAAGGCCCTGCCTCCTTACAACATAACAGGTTGTGAGGAGAGAAATATGGCCCATATTAAAGAACAGATCAAAATTCCAGAAAAAGAGCTCAGCGATAAGGAGATAGACAACCTACCTGATGTACAGTTCAAAACACTAGTAATCAGGGTGCTCACAGAACTAACTGAGCTCGGATGCAAAATGAAGGAAGAAATGAAGGCTACCCAAAGTGAAATAAAGCGAAATATACAGGAGACCAACAGTGAAGGGTGGGAAACTAGGACTCAAATCAATGATTTTGGAACAAAAGGAAGAAATAAACATCCAAGTGCAATAGAATGAAGAAACAAGAATTCAAAAAAATGAGGCATGGCTTACAAACCAATGGGACAACTTTCAGCACTCTAACATCCAAATCATAAAAGTGAAGAACATCCAAATCAGAAGGTGAAGAACAACAGCAACAAGTTGAAAACTTATTTGAAAACATAATGAAGGAGAACTTCCCTAATCTGGCAAAGGAAACAGACTTCTAGGAAGTCCTGGAAGCTCAGAGAGTCCCAAAGAAGTTGGACCCAAGGAGGAACACACCAAGGCACATCATAATTATATTAGCCAAGATTAAAGATAAGGAAAAAATCCTAGAGGCAGCAAGAGGTAAGGGGACAGTCATCTACAAAGGAGTTCCCATCAGACTGTCAGCTGATTTCTCAAAAGAGACCTTATAAGCAAGAAGGGACTGGAAAGAAGTATTCCAAGTCACAAAAGTCAAGGACCTACATCCAAGATTGCTGTATTCAGCAAAGCTTTCATTTAGAATGGAAGGGCAGATAAAGTGTTTCTCAGATAAGAACAAGTTAAAGGAGTTCATCATCACCAAGCCCTTATTATATGAAATGTTAAAGGGACTTATCTAAGAAAAAGAAGATAAAAAACATGTACAGTGAAATGAACAGCAAACTCACAATTATTAACAACAACACCTAAAACAAAAAGAAAAAAAGCTAAGCAAACAACTAGAACAGGAACAGAACCACAGAAATGGAGATCACATGGAGAGTTAGCAACAGGAGAGTGGGAGAAGGAGGGGGGGGGGAAGGTACAGAGAATAAGTAGCATAGATAGTAGGTAGAAAATAGACAGGGGGAGCGAGAGGATAGTATGGGAACTGTAGAAACTAAAGAACTTATAAGTATGACACTTGGACATGAACTAAAGGGGGGAATATGGGTGGGAGAGAGTGTGCAGGGTAGAGGGGAGTGAAGGGGGGGAAGGGAAAACTGTAATAGCATAATCAAAAAACTATATTTAAAAAATGAACAGATCTTCCAAACAAAATATCAAGATATTGTGGCACTGAACAATGCCCTAGATGAAATGGACTTAACTGATATATAGACAGCCCTTCACCCAAAGAAACTAAATACACATTCTTTTCAAATGCACATGGAACATTTTCAAAGATAGACCACAAGATAGGACAGAAAACAAGCCTCAACAAATTCAAGAAAATTTAAATGATACCAAGCATTTTCTCTGACCACAAAGGATTGAAACTAGAAACCAACCCCAAGGAAAAAAACTCAAAACACTCAAAATCAAGGAGATTGAATAGCATACTATTAAACAATGAATGGGTCAAGAAAGAAATTAGGGAAGAAATAGAAAAGTTTCTGGAAACAAACAAAAACAAACTCACAACAACCCAAAACTTATGGGAAATAGCCAAGGCACTCCCGAGAAGGAAGTTCATAGCAATACCTTAAAAAGATAGAAACATTTCAAACAAACAACCTAACCCTGTGCCTACAAGAGCTCGAAGAACAACAACAAAGATAGCTCAGAGCAGGTAGAAGGAAAGAAATAACCAAGATCAGAGCAGGATTAAATGACATAGAGACTAAATGCACAATTCTAAGGATCAATGAATCCAGGAGCTGGTTCTTTGAAAAGATAAATAAAATCAACAAGCCTTTAAGCAAACTCATCAAGAAAAGAAGAGAGGACCCAAATAAACCCAATCAGAAATGAAAGAGGAGAGATTAAAACTGACACCACAAAAATACAAAGGATTGTGAGAAATTACTATGAAGAACTATATGTGAAGAAATCTGAAAACCTAGGTAAAATGGACAAATTTCTAGAAAATATAATCTTCCAAACTCAATGAAGAAGAAGCAGAAAGCCTAAACAGACCAATAAAAGCAGACGAAACTGAAGCAGTAATAAAAAAACTACTGTCACACAAAAGCCCTAGACCAGATGGTTTGGCAGGTGAATTCTATAAAGCATTTGAGGAAGAGCTAACCCCTATCCTTCTCAGATGATTCAAAAATTTCCAAAATGATGGAAGACTCCCAAACTGTTTTTATGAAGCCAGCATCATCCTAATCCCAAAACCAGATAAAGACACAACAAAGAAAGAAAACCTCAGGCCAATATCACTGATGAACATAGATGCTAAAATCCTCTACAAAATATTGGCAAACCACATCAAACAATACATTAAAAAGATCATACACCATAACCAAGTGGGATGCATCCCACGGATGCAAGGATGCTTTAATATTTGCAAATCAGTAAATGTAATACATCACACAAACAAAAGCAAAGACAAAAATCACATGATCATATCAATAGATGCAGAAAAAGCATTTGATAAGGTACAGCACCCATTTATGATAAAAACACTCAGCAAAGTGGGAATAGAAGGAGCATTACTCAGTATAACAAAGGCCATATATGAGATACCTACAGCCAACATCATACTCAATGGGCAAAAACTAAAAGCTTTTCCACTAAGATCAGGAACAGGACAAGGTTGTCCACTTTCACCACTTCTATTCAATATAGTATAGGAAGTTTTAGCCACAGTGATCAGACAAAAAAAGGAAATAAAAGGCTTCCAAATTGGAAAGGAGGAAACAAAACTGTCACTGTTTGCAGATGACATGATAGACGGAAAATCCTATAGACTCCACCAAAAAACTGTTCAAAGTAATAAATGAATTTGGCAAAACAGCAGATTACAAAGTCAATATCCAGAATTGAAGGCATTTTTGTATACAAACAATGAAATAGAAGAAGCAGAAATCAAGAAAAAAATCCATTTGGTATAGCAAAAAGAAAACTAAAATATCTAGGAATACACCTAAGGAGGTAAAATACCTGTATGCAGAAAACTACACAATACTAAAGAAAGAAATCAAAGAAGACACAAACTAATGGAAACACACATCGTGTTCATGGATTGGAAGAATTAACATCATCAAAATGTCCATACTCCCCAAAACAATTTATAGATTCAATGCAATACCTATTAAAGTACCAATGGCATATTTCACAGACACAGAACAAACACTTCAAAAATTTATATGGAACCATAAGCGACCCCAAATAGCGGCTGCAATTTTGAGAAAGAAGAGCAAAGTAGGAAAGATCACAATACCTAATACTAAACTGTATTACAAGGCCACTGTAATCAAAACACCCTGGTATTGGCATAAAAACAGCACACTGACTGGTGGAACAGAATGGAGAGCCCAAAAATAAACCCAAGTTTCTATGGTCAATTAATACTGGATAAAGAAGGCAGCAACATAAAATGGAGTAAATATAGCCTCTTTAACAATGATGTTGGGAGAACAGCTACAAGCAAAAAAAAATGAAACTCAAGCACCAACTTACACCATACACCAAAATAAATTCAAGGTGGATAAAAGATTTAAATATAAACTGTGACACCATTATGTCCTAGAGGAGAACATAGACAGGAAAATCTCAGATATTTCACATAGCAACATTTTCACTGATATGTCCCCTAGAGCAAGGGACATAAAGGAAAGAATAAACAAATGGGATCTCATCAAAATTAAAAGCTTCTGCACAGCTAAAGAAAACCATATTAAAATAAAAAGAGAACCAACTGTATGGGAAAACAAAGTTGCCAATGATACCTTAGACAAAGGTTTAATCTCCAAAATATATAAAGAACTTATACGACTCCACTAAGAAGACAAAGCAACCCAATTAAAAAATGGGAAAAGTACTTGAACAGACAATTCTCCAAGGAGGACATACAGAGGATCCAAAGACACATGAAAAGATGTGTCAATATCACTACCTAACAGAGATGCAAATTAAAATCACAGTGAGATACCACTTCACACCAGTCAGAATGGCCATCATAAACAAAGCAACAAACAACAAGTGTTGGAGAGGTTGTGGGGAAAAGGGGACCCTAGTTCACTGTTGATGGGATTGCAGACTGGAACAACCACTATGGAAAACAGTATGAAATTTTCTCAGAGAACAAAAAATGGATCTGCCTTTTGACCCAGCAATTCCACTGCTAGGATCATATCCTAAGAACCCTGAAACACCAATCCAAAAGAACCTATGCACCCCAATGTTCATAGCAGCACAATTTACAATAGCCAAGTATTGCTAGCAACCTAGGTGCCAACCAGCAAATGGGTCAAAAAATGTGGTACATTTACACAATGGAATTCTATGCAGCAGAAAGAAAGAAGGAGCTCCTACCCTTTGCCACAGCATGAATGGAACTGGAAAGCATTATGCTGAGTGAAATAAGCCAGGCGGTGAAAGATAAATACCATATGGTCTCACCTTTAACAGGAATCTAAGCAGCAAAACAAACAAACAAGCAAAATGTAACCAAAGATACTGAAATAGAGAACAGGCTGACAGTGACCAGATGGGAGAGGGGAGGGAA